TAAATTCTTTTCACCCCTCGTCCGCGACATCCAACAGGTAGTTGGACGTTAAACCTTCCTGGCATTAAGACTTTACATGTCTTAAACATTATAACGTGTCTCAAAGAAAATGTTATAGCTTTATTTTAAAATGTGTCCTAGGCGGATTTGAATTTTTTTCGACAAATACCGATGGTATTTAAAAGACCCACTAACCGCTAATTGGCTCGTAAATTACCTTTATCGACCACTTACCAATTTGTTTGCTTTTGGTAACACCTAATAACAACTTATCTAGCATCAACAAATCAGCCGTAATTATGGTTTAATGAACATATTTCTCGCTGAGAATGGATAGTGGCGTGTTGTGCGAGGTTATAAAACTATCATAATTGACGATATAGGGTTTAATATTTTAACATCACCGTTCTTTTTCAATTAACAGAAAAACCGGGAAAGGTTTTAATCCACTCCTACATACTTTCTGTAGATGTATAAAAATGATAATATAGTGTTTATTACAAAAATACATTCAAAACACACATTCTCACTTTATAGTTAAACATATACTCCTCAGTCATTAGACCATCGGAAATCAAGGCTTTAAAAAAGTTTAAAAATTTGTTTACGTTCCTGTTCTGGTGAAGATTCTTCTGGCTGTATAATAATGCTTTATAGTTCTAATGAAAAAATTCTTTGTCGTCTATTATTATGAAAACTTAAAGTATAGATTACTAAAAGCGTACATATTAAGAATTATTAACAATACTTTAGTTTAACCACATTATAATCTGCAGGGTGCCCCAGTTCCTTCTGACGAAAGTCAGAGAATCGATTCTACTCTTAGTTGGGAGCAAAAAATGCTCAGGAGAAAATTTTCGGAAAGTTCTCTATTTTGTGATATTTGTCAATTTAGGTTTTTTCATCTTTTCACTACCTTACCACATAAAAACGCTTACAACTTCCAAAATGTTGAGACTACAGCAAATTCAATTACACCATTTGAAAGAACGTTAAATTTGCTGTAAAATACTTCTTTGCAATAACCTGAATGACATAAAATGTTAGAAAATATCAGTTGGAACATGTCAAAATTACAAAATTTAAAATTTTGTCATGATTGCACGTTCTAGTGAGGTTACAGAAAAAACCTACAACTTGTCAAATTTTACAAAAACTTCTTCATCTAAAATGATTTACGTTGATATATCCAGGTTTTTAAATAACGTTCTAGTAGAGTTGAAAAATAACAATTGAATGTTCGAAAACGTGAGCTAAGGTAAATTTGAAGGGGGTAAGAAATAAATCAATTAGAACTCGTGTTGTAAAATAAAAATGACCCTTGTTTGACCGGTTGAATGAAAAATGCTGGATGGGATCGAAGTTAAAACAATAATCATCACAGAATGTAACAGGTCGAGTGTGTTACTGAAAGATAATAATATTAATTAATATTAATATTATTTTACAAAGCGAGTCCTAATTGATTTATTTCTACCCCCCTCCACCATCAAATTTACCTTAGCTCACGTTTTCGAACATTCAATTGTTATTTTTCAACTCTACTAGAACGTTATTTAAAAACCTGGATATATCAACGTAAAGTTAGATGAAAAAGTTTTTGTGAAATTTGACTAGTTGTAGGTATTTTTTTAACCTCAGTAGAACGTGCAATCATGACCAAAATTTTAAATTTTGTAATTTTGGCATGTTCCAACTGATATTGGCTAACATTTTATATAATTCAGATTATTGCAAATGGAAGTATCTCACAGCAAATTTAGCGTTCTTTCAAATGGTGTAATTGGATTTGTGGTAGTCTCAACATTTTGGAAGTTGTAAGCGTTTTTATGTGGTAAGGTAGTGAAAAGTTGAAAAAACCTAAATTGACGAATATCTTCAAAATAGAGAACTTTCCGAAAATTTTCTCCTGGGCATTTTTTATCCAAACTAAGAGTTGAATCGATTCCCTGACTTTCGTCAGAAGGAACTGGGACACCCTGTATATACATTGCACATTAAAAAACAAATGCACGAGCGGCCAACTTTTAAAATGCACACTTTCTCAGCCTTTTTAGTCACAGACCTGCTCTAGGTTTCATTTTTAGAAAATTTGACGCTGAGCATGATGGCATTTTAAATGTTTTTGACGTGCTTCAGTCATTCATCTGTAAATTCATAAATTCGGGAACATGTTAATTTTCACGAAAACTTCAAATTAGGATGTGGAGCCAGGAAATCATCCTCGAGCGGCGCCCGTTAGCAATCGATAGGTAATTTTAATAAGCTTTCAATTGGGCATCTTCCACTTTGCCCGATTTCTCAACTGTTAACGAGATATTCGCGATTTTTGGGCAAAAAAAGTGGCTCATGGAAAAAACCGATCACTCTCTACCTCTCTCTCCCGATTTTCAAGAATGCATAAATTTTGAACCGACATGTTTTCGCAAATTTTACTCTCTACAACTTTTGTTCCGAGGAGTTTTTTCAAAAAGTAAACAAGGAAGCAACAATTCTTACTTTTTTCTTACTTTGACTTTTTGAGATACGGAATGCTTCTGCTGTCTATAACCACTTGTTTACTTCATCACGGAAATTCAACTTTTCCTTCCCATTTCACAGGTTTTCTGGCAGTTTGGCTTCTAATAACGTATTAAAACAATAGAGTAATGTATGGTAAAATCGAGAGAGAGAGAGAGAGAGAGAGGGTGAGTGAGAGAGCGAGAGAGTGATCGGGTTTTTCCGTTCCAGCTCGTAAAAAAACCACGTTTTTCCCAAAAAATCGCGAATAACTCAAAAACTGTTAAAAATCGGGCAAAATGGAAGGTGACCGATTGAAAGCTTATTAAAATTTCCTATCGATTGCTATATGGGGTCGCTTCAGGACGATTTCCTGGCTCCACAGTTCAATTTGAAGTTTTCATAAAAAGTGTAAAATTAACATGTTCCCGAATTTTTGAATTTACTGATGAATGACTGAATCTTGGAAAACGTTTAAAAAGCCTTCTTGTTCAGCGTAAAATGTTCTAAAAAAAATGAGACCAGCGCAGGTCTGTGACTAGAAAGGCTGAGAAAATATGCATTTCCAAAGGCGGCCATTTTTCTGTGCAAAAACCTTTTTTTTTCTTTTTTTTTAATATTGTTTGGTTTTAATTTTTATTGGTTTCAATCACGTAAAAACTTCTATGACAACCTTTAAATTCTACTAAAAAAGGCTCTTTAGTTCAGTATTTCTTTATAAGAACGTGAAGACCTTGAATACTGATCAATTTTTTAAACTCATTTTATTTATAACTTACATAAAAATTATTTAATTAGTAAATCCAAGAAGTTAACTGAACTATATACTATTTTCCTTAAACCGGGCAATCAGATTTCTCCTTGTTTTCTTCTATGTTTTAGGGCCGGCAAATTACTACAACCTCTAAATCAGGTGCTCTATCTGTTTTGTATTTTTCCCCTATTAATTATACTAATTGCTTTTAGCGTTTTTCCAGTCAAGTGGTGATCAAAGAGATTGCTCTTATTTTAATCGTATTGCTAGCCTCTCTGAACCTCAGGGGCCTCGTCAATTGTGAATTAAATAATAAATGCACATGAAACAGAACAAGATAAAATATGAGAGTCTGATTAGCATTCATACTACTCCAGATGAGATTCCAGTCATAATATCGATATCTCTCTGGGCTATTGGAGATAAACCTTCTCCATTCACGCTAATAAATTACAGTCACCCAAATATCCATAAATGTAACTGTAAAAAGTTGAATACGTTATGAAAATTTAAGAAAAAATCATCAATTATCAGAGTGATATTTTACTTTTATTTGATGTTCCATAACAAAATTTATAACAAAGTTTTGTTTTGTTTAAAGTGTATAAAGGTTTTCTTTAGGTTTGGTGTATATTATACAATATAATTTTATCTTTATGTAATTAATTGAAAGAAGTGATTTGGTCAATCGGACCACGAACTCTAATGGATTATATCATATATTTTACGTATTTTTATTAACTATTACAATTGATTAAGGTTTTTAGTTGAGATGAAAAAGCGGACCACGAAATTAGTGAATTTATTAACTATGATACATTAAATTTGCGAACATCATTTTTGCTGTCAAGCACAATTTTAACTTGCTGAAAGCAGGCAGCTGCCTTGGTGGATAGATAAACTTTGGTTTTATCCAATACTATATATAACTTGTTCAGATAATTTAATTATTTCTATTACTATTTCTATACTTGTACATAATTGTGCTTATAATTTTATTTCTTTCACATTACTTTTTCTTAATTATCAACAATTATCCCATATTCTAATCTCATTTACTCGTATCCACTAAACCAGTAGACATTTTTATGTATTCATTGGATTAAAAAGAGATTAGGATAATTATCAGGTTGAAGGACAAAAGACCTCCAGATTTTTTTGATTTTTTTTGTAAATTGGGAGTGCAAAGGAAAATTGAAAACCTTTTGATACCGTATGTAACAAGTAGTTCGAAACTACCATTAGAAAAATTAGCGGATGTTTTTAGATTTTTTATTCAGAAAATGCCTTTGAACTGGCTCTTTTGTTTACAATTTTCAAACCCCAGGCTTGCGCTTCATCAGGAATGGTTGATCTGCACTGTTCTACACATGCAATTATAGCAGTACTTTTTGTAAGTAATGTATTTATCTATTTGTCGTCAAATAACAGACGTAGTATAATTGAGTACTCTAAGAAGGTAGAAAGTGGTCAAGCACAATTTTTTTTTTCACCTTACAAAAATCAACAAAATATGCTCGAGTTAAAAAGCCTGAGTACATCAAATAGGACAAATACTTAATAAATGAATAAAGCTGACTATATTTTTCTGTCAAATCATCTTTGATAAAAAGTTGCAAGAGTAATCAATAACTCACAGTATCGAATTTTATAGAACAGTGATTTTTTACACATCTCGGGGGTCGATTAATGTAGGATATTATTTTAGAGGATTGAGGACACAATGAGGTATAATAATAAAAATAAATTGTGTAAAATAAATGTTTATTTCATGATACCAAAAAGTGCAGTTTACCAGAAAGCCCTAACACCGTGGAGTCCGAGTCCGTAGGGGTGAACGGCGGAGTAGCCGAGGGTAGCTGCGTATGGGGTGGCGTAACGGGCAGCGACGACGGGGCCGGCGACGTGAGAAGCGACGACGGGAGCAGCTACAGCATGACCAAAGGTATGACCGTAGGTGAGGGCTTTCTGGTTTTCGTGAGCGACGGCGTGAGCCTGTTTGCCGAGGGCGACTTCGGGGGTGTCAGCGGGAAGGTGGAGTGGGACACCGCCTCCGAGGACGTTCCTGGTTCCTTCGGTGTGCTGTTGGACGAGCTGGGCCTGCTTGGCGAGGGCGACTTCGAGGGTGTCAGCGGGGCTGGCGAGGGCGTTGGGGTTGACGAGGACGGCCCTCTTGTACAAGTGGTGGACGAGTCCGGCAGCGGAGTTGTCCAAATGGGGTTTCCATTGTCCGTCGTCGAGGTCAGCTCCGAACCAAGTCAGGTGTCCAGATCCGAGGACAGATCCGTCCAAATGGGGCTTCCATTGTCCATCGTCTTCAAGGCGGACAAGACCGTGCAAAACCTGGGCATAGCTGGTAGCTACCAACCCCAAAACGGCAACAAGAGCGAGCTGAACAAAAAATAAAACTCTTTAAAAAATATTTGTAAATAATTAATTGACTGCATATTGATTCGTGGGTCTTTTTTAGTCAATACAGTTAAATCCACATTTAAACCAAGATATCAATTCTTAATGTAATATTGTTAATTCACACACATTAAAATATTACTACATGATTTTTAAACCAACAGTATGTATGATCGATTAGACTATAAGACAAAAGGTAATATAGCATTTTGCTGAAAATTGAACAAAGTTCATTGTTTATTATTAATAGGTATAGCTATCATGTTCGCGCCGAGAAACTTAATTGGTTCTAACCTAGTGAAAAGTCAGCCTACACAAATTAACGCAATATATTATCTTCATCAAAGGTGAACAGGCAGTTTCCCTAAATTACATATTGATACAGATCCCGAAATTGTTTAAAACTCCATTAAATCGTATAATGTATATATTTTGAAATTTAAGTTTAAATTGATCAGAAAATGTATAATTGAAAAACGTATCGCTCAGATATAAAACCTCTTTTTTCAATTCGACCGAAAATACTGTTAATGACAAAATGTCCACAGTTGTCGTCGTGGGCCATTATTCATAAAGGTGGACTTATAAAGTGGAGTTTCAACTTACTGAAGCTTTCATAGTGGATAATGTTTCACCTCCTTGGAAAGGACTGTGTTGCCCGAAATGTGCTCAACTGCCCATTTATACCCGAACAATGGCCTCCAAATGAGTCCCCACCCAAAATTTCTTCTTCTTCAACATCTTACAACGCCCTGTTTTGTCGTCTGCATTTTTATTTTTATTTTATTTTTTTTTTATTCTATGGAGAAAAAAATTCTTTAACCGTTAATTTTTCATCACTGAATATGTTATAAAATATACAATGCAACAGTCTCATTTAAAAATGCAGAACAAATCGAGAGTGTAAAAATTGAATATCATAACTACTACATTGGTAAACCTTTTGACCGTATGCCGAGAGGAAAAGTTTTAGAAAATATACAAAACAATATACAAACGTCCCTCCTCATTGACATATTTGAAGTTTGAAAATATAACAGGAAAATGCAACGCCAATATTCAAAAGTTCGTTTGAAAATTTCTTCAAATGAAGGTTCGGATTGTAAAACTCCGATGTCGCGAGATTTCATTTTTGGCCAAAATTCCGATGATTTGCCTGGGGCGAAGACGTTCTTCAACTACACAGCCTAACGATGTTAAGTTTGTCAAAAAACTGGATATTGAATGTGGAAAATACTACAATAATAGGCTATACAGTAAATAATTCATGGTTTTTAATCAAAGTTTAATTGTTTGTAATTCTTTTTTATAATTAGCAAAGAATCCAGCAGCTTTTTGGATCGTTGGATGAGAAGAACCTGCTGGTATCATCGTGTCTAAATTTGTGGGTTTTTTACACTGACTGGCAAAAGATTCCACCCACCTGTAATATAACTTGGTTTGAATATATTTTTATAACCAAAGTTTCACGTTGTTTAACGTCTAATAATTGGCTCTTTGTCTTTAACAAAAAAGAACGAACATTTCCAAAGGAAAATAAAAAAAAAGACGAACAAATAAAATTTGTTTTAATTAGATTTTAATTACCATTTCAATATCACGTATTTCCTCCTCTTGCCTTAATTACATCTAGAAGACGCCTGCGCATACTTTCTACCAGTCTGCTAATGCTCTTTGCTAGAGGTTAACCCATTCACAAAGAGTCCTCTCAAGATGGTGGAGCGTATCAGGAAGTGATGGATTTGCTCTTATTCGTTTTTTGAGGTTATCCCATAACGGGCTGGCCAGGCTAAGACCCTGATGCTGTTGAAGGTAGGTTTCTACTATACGAGCGATATGTGGACGGGCATTATCGACCATTAGAATAGGATTGTCGTTGTTTGATCGACGATAGGCAACGCATGATATTCCAAATTTTCATCCACATAGCGAGTGGCCGTCAAAGACTCTTCACGAACAACAACCAACTCTGTGCGATTCTCCAATGAAATTCCCGCCCACATCATCACTGAGCTACGTTGAAAAGGTTGGCTCTGGGAGAAATTACTTTGTATCTTTCATTTCGCCTTCCCTTCACTCTTTTACGCCCATCTGGAGATCGTAGAGCAAATCTACACTCATCTGTAAAAAGTACAGCAGACCAATCGTCTAAAGACCAATGGCTGTGTTCTCGAGGTGAGAGTCGTGCAATTCTATGTGTTGTGGTCAATTTTGATCCTCTTACGGGGCGAAAAGCCAACAGTTCATACTGATTTAATCTTCTTCGAGCAGCGCGTTCAGAAATTTGGACACCTCAAACTTCCTGGAGTTCATGAATCGCTTGAACAACGGTAAGATGCCGGTTTCGCAAAATTCTCAAAGTCAAACAACGATCATCCTGAGGTTCTGTTACCCTAGGACTTCCAGAACCGGGCCTTCTATGTTAGGAGACCCAGTTTCCCGAAAACGTCTAACGTCGTAGTGATTCGTAGGGATGACAATAGCCGCATACCTGATGAAACGCCATCATCAATAAGTGCCACACCATGCGCATCATCCACAGCACTAAGCGGCATTTTTAAGTTAAAAATTGAAATAAAGAAAACAAAGATGAAAACTAAACAGTTTATTGCCTCAGAATTCAAATCAAACTGAATAAACATTTTAAATTCCGTAAAAAGTAAACAACAATACTCGTTTTGGATTAAATATTGACTTGATGTAAGTATTTGATTTTGACTTGATTACTTAACTTAATCAATTGAGTTTACCGCTAATTGATATTTCAAATTTAAAACTAGTATAGACAAATATTTATTAGTAAAACATTGAGACAAATTAAGGGCAGAATTTTCTTTTATGGAGAAAATAAAATAAAAAAATCAATTGGGTGGTATTTTTTGCCAGTCAATGTCACCTCGATTTGCATTAGGTCATTTATTATGGACATTTTTAAGTTTAAAAAGTATAAACAACCGTTCTAGTTGACATTGATCGACCTCCGTAGTTTAAACTGATGTATTGGATCTTCTTGAGGTCATTTTACAGGTGAATAAAGAACATCACTATTGGGTTTCACCAAGCTTTCGGCGAATGTTCCGCCATCTTCAGGGCCTAATTTATTGAAAACAAAATTTACATGAACAGAGTTACATAAAACATCTTATACACATACATTATAAAAATAAAATTACGTACTTTACCCAGTTTTTTAGGACAATTAAATTTATTGCACATGTTTGTAGTTTTTTAAAATGAAGGTGAAAATGAATCTAAAAAAATAAAAAAATAAAAATAGTCTCGCTTAAAATCTAGTGACACTCATCGGTTCATCCTTTGGTCTCACCTCTTTCATAAGTTAATACTCAATCTCAGGTACATGTATTTCTTTATCACAGATACGTTAAATATATATATATATATATATATTATATATATATACACAACTTCTAAACTGTTTTTTAACTTAAAATTATAATTTAATTATCTACAACTATGTACAAGGAATTTGAAGAAAATTGAGACACATCGAACGGTTACAACACGGTAAGGGACCCATCCCTGTTATCAATCACGGTGTGATTAGACGCACCAACTTGAACCACGCGTCACTTTGCGCTTTATTTCGATTCACGAACAGTTGCAGGATTCCCGAATATGCCATGATGGAGCCCAGTCGATCCATTTGCAAATTACAAGAGTTTTTCGTAACATGAATACAGACTTTTTCGAAAAGTAGTCGTCGCTCTAAGTACAACTCTCTGCCCAGGATCCAAGGGGAGTCCAACTTGAAGAAGAAAGTGTCACTAGATTTTAAGCGAGTCTATTTTTTTTTTTTTTTTTCAGTATGTAGATGCATTTTCACCTTCATTTAAAAAAACAACAAACATGTGCAATAAATTTAATTGTCCTCAAAAACTGGTAAAGTACGTAATTTTATTTTTATAATGTATGTGTATATGATGTTTTATGTAACTCTGTTCATGTAAATTTTGTTTTCAATAAATTAGGCCCTGAAGATGGCGGAACATTCGCCGAATGCTTGGTGAAACCCAATTAGTGATGTTCTTTATTCACCTGTAAAATGACCTCAAGAAGATCCAATACAACATCAGTATAAACAACCATATTTATTTACTTCCAATATACAATTTATACAAGGGTGTAAAGATTAATTAATTAGGAGAATTCCTTTAGAACCTCTAGTGTTCCCCACCATATTATATTCTTGGGTACGAATGGGTACTAGGAGGCTGTATTAGCGTCTAATACTCAACTTCACCTTTCCACCTTCACGAAGATTATGCGTGTGTACCCTGTTAATCATACAGACGGAAAAAGGGGTACGGGGGAGGAAAAGGAGCTTGATCTGTCACGACCTAAACCCACACCCCACAACATACCATTCCTACTACCCAATGAAGTTAAAATGTACTTAATTCATTATGTACAATGTGGTTTAAATTTTCAATAAATTCAGTTCGAATGATAATTACCATGAAATGCAATCATCAACTTTTACATATTAAATTTATATATTTGTTCTTCATTCAATATTTCACCGTATTGTTTTTAATCACGGCATTAATTTATAAATACATGGATAATTCGACAGTGATATTGTCTAAATAAAACGTTAATAAATATGAGTATTATTTATTTTACCGAGAATTCGAGCTTTTAATTCAATAAAAGGAAGTTTTTAGCAACAGTTTTTCATCATTGTTAAATTTTAAAAAATAAACAACTTCCTCGTCGCCATTGACAATTTTCTCATTAACTTCATTGAAGTATAGTAGAAAACTTCAGAGCAAAGTTGTAGTAAAGATGCAAAGATGCCCTTGAGATTTGTACATGGCCTAAGGCTAACTTTACTTGTCTCATTACGATTACTCTAAACGGAATTTATTACTGACAAATTTCGAGGAGAAAAATAAAACGAAAAATATATCAGTTTAACAATTATAATTATAAGCAACCTTACAACTGTTAATTGAAACTAAGGAATCTAAATTTAGATAGAACATCTTTGTTTTTCCCCCATTTTTTTATTAAATCATATATCTGTAAAATGTGTGGTGATTAGTGACCATTAATCGATAATTATTCAGAAATCCTGACCGCATCTCACGATTTCTGAATAATTATCTGTAAAATTTTATAGTTGGCAAATATTGATCAATTTCTTTCGTCATATTATTAAATTTAGCGTAAATATGTGAGATTTAATAATAGGGATTATGCGATAACTTGAAAATATAAGGTCGACATCGCTGTCAACTTCTTCAGAACATTTCCGTAAGTTCCTTAATAATTAATTATTAATTTGATCCCCTTTCGCGATTGCGTCATTCAAGTTTGTATTGTGTGTTTTTGAGATATTAATACTTCAATTTGTCTCCAGGGGAAGTTGGCCTGTTGTAGTTTATTCTAGACAATATGAGAGAAAAAGTTTTTGAGTGGGAAGAACAAAACATTTTGTCTGGTAGCAACAAGTTAAAAAAAGAAATTCTTCATAACTTAACGAAAACTAAAGCCACGAATCGATTTTCCCTTCAACCGAAAGAAGAACGAAGTCCCTACGCTTTACTGCCAAAGTTAATATAAATTTACTTATTTTTTCTTCTAAAACAAAGAATACAATGTTTTCAAATTTATTTTTGATTTCATATACTACTTTCAGTTGTTATTTTTTAGAAAATTAATTTTCAAAATTGAAATTGTAATAAAAATTCTAACTAAAATGTAAGATATCTTGTAAAATTGACAATATTTTTATGCGTATGGAAATTAAATTGAAGTCATCTGTCACTCGTTAAAAGGGTTAAACTGGCGTCTTATAATTCATTATTATTTGACTAAAACCAGATAAATAAGTCTTTTCCGGCAAGCATGAAACAAATGTGAGCAGAGGCTCTTATGAGAATTTACATTGAAAGTAAGGATGGCTTAAATAAGTGGGGATCCTTTGGAGGCCGATGTTCTCATATATAAAGTCCGCGCCTCGTCCAAATCATCGCAGTCCTTTCGTAGGAGGTGAAACTCGCAGTCTCAAAATGAAATCAGCTGTAAGTATTCCGAAAAAACGGGAATTTGCTCTTGGAAATTTTCTTTCATCGAGATAGTAGTGCAGATTTGTCTTACCTCCAGACGTGAAACAATTACGTAGGACTCACTGGGCTTACTTTACATACTTATTTCGCTAAAAATAAAGATTTAAAGATTCGTTAGCGTTTTAAATAGGAAATCCAGGTATTAACCTGAAATATGGAAATAAAAGAAAACTCCAGCGATTTTTTTATCTTGCTTATTCTAAATATATTAAGGAAATATATGCATAAGGATGAAAATGTATTATAATGCATTGGTCAAGAAAAAAACCTTTATCGAGTTACACATTGAAACAATGGTTTTTAACCTTAGCGATGTACATTAAATAAAGCATAACATAATTGGTTGCTTTCATAGTAGGTACACATCGGTCTTCTGAAATTTCTTTTTGTAATTTTACTAGTTGTTTAACATATTTTTTATTTTTAGTTGGCAATCCTCTGCTTAGCAGTCAGTGCTTTGGCCCAACACCCCGCTGAAGATGACGGGTCTTGGAAGCCTCATTTGGACGGATCTGCTTTAGGAAACGGCGATCTCGTTTGGCTGGGACCTGACAATGACGATGGTCAATGGAAACCCCATTTGGACAACTCCGCTGCCGGACTCGTCCATCACTTGTACAAGAGGTCTGTCCTAGTCAACGCCAACGCTCTCCCCGTGCCCGCTGACACCCTCGAAGTCGCCCTGGCTAAGCAAGCCCAGCTCGTCCAACAGCACAGTGAAGGAACCAGGAACCTCCTCGGAGGCGGTGTCCCACTCCACCTCCCCGCTGACACCCCTGAGGTCGCCCTTGCCAAGCAAGCCCAACTTGTCCAACAGCACAGTGAAGGAACCAGGAACCTCCTCGGAGGCGGTGTCCCACTCCACCTCCCCGCTGATACCCCTGAGGTCGCCCTTGCCAAGCAAGCCCAGCTCGTCCAACAGCACAGTGAAGGAACCAGGAACCTCCTCGGAGGCGGTGTCCCACTCCACCTCCCCGCTGACACCCCTGTAGTCGCCCTTGCCAAGCAAGCCCAACTCGTCCAACAGCACACCGAAGGAACCAGGAACGTCCTCGGAGGCGGTGTCCCACTCCACCTCCCCGCTGACACTCCCGAAGTCGCTCTCGGAAAACAGGCTCACGCCGTCGCTCACGAACATCAGAAAGCTCTTAACCACGGTCTTCCCGTTGCTCACGCTGTAGCTGCTCCCGTCGTCGCCGCTCGTGTCGCCACCCCCGTCGTCGCTTCCCACGTCGGTGTTCCTTTTGGCCTTTCCTCCGTCCACACTGTTGGACTCCACCACGGACTCACAGCCGTTTTGTAAAAAGGGAAATTAATTATCTGTGTTCAGTGACTGATATAAAATAAACAATTTTTTTATAATGCTTTGATACATTCTAAAAATATCTATTCCCGAGAACCTTAAAAGTTTTGTACTGTAATCTAACAAGCTAGAATTCCATAACTTATATGGTAGTATTCTGTAATATTTTTGTAAGTTTGTCAATATGCAGAAAAAGTTTGAATATTATACTTTCTATGGAGTATTATTTGAAAGTAATTTAAGAAAAGAAATACAACTAGGGTCTATGAAGACATAAATAGAAATCATTCGCGGTTTTTATTAATATAAAAACCTGCAGTGTAATAGATAATAATAGGTTGAAAATAAACTATAATAGACGATACGTAATTTAGAAAATGTATCGCCCCACTAAACGAGCTTGAAAATTTTTAAAATGTCTTTTGAAAAAACAAAAACAAATTGTTTTTATATAAAATTCTGGCATTTGTAATAAACCCAAATATGCCATTGAAAGCTACCTCCAATCCGCATTTTTTAATGACTGAAAATCACGAGTAGACATTGATGAAGATATAAATCCGTATCTGAAATTTTGCCCCTTAACCTATGAACTCACTTGTATGTAAATGTATATGAAAAATATTTTTTTAAGAAAACCGATTCTGAATAATAACCGCATAAAAACGTGTAGTATCGGTATTGCTTTTGAGTGACATTACCTTAACAATCTTTTCAGCCTTTTGCCATCTTGTCGGAAATTGGTTACCAAGCACCAAATAAAAATTTCAATATCAGTTTCCCCTCCATCATCATTATTATCGGGATACAACTCTCAAATCTCTTACGTAACGACTTCAGGTTTTCAGATAAACTAAGACAGGTTTCTGACAGATCTCATAGTTCCAGTGGAAGAATCGATTGTTTACAAGACGAAAACAAGCCACAATGGCACGCGTCAGTGAAAAGATAGCCGGTCTCAAACTCCTGACGATAGTCAATAAACTGTCCGAACAGATAACAAAACATTCTTATTATAAATAGTTGCCCAATGGGATTTTTCTTATTAGTTCGTTGATAATAGCATAATTTTCAATATCAAATCAGTAAATAAATTTATATTTAAATATATAGACAGTATTTTTTTTTCATAATAAACATGTGTGTTATTTAAATAAGGTTTTGTTGTTTTTCGTCAATGAAGTTAAATTGTAATTAGTATCAAATGTTTATGAATGTTTTGTCTTTAGATAAAAATGCTTTGGTTTAAAATACAGAGCCCCTCTCTTACTTTTCCTATTTATTTTTGTTTTATCGCTGGCCTACGTGAAGAACGACACGCAGCCATCTTTGCTTAAGGTTTTTCTCTTAATAAAATTTATAGTTATAGCTAAAGTTAAGTTTGTTGGATCAATGCGTTGTCCAACATTTTATGATAAATATAATAAGTTGTTAATAAGCTGGCTAATTAGAGTTTAAGAGTTTTTGAAAAAAAAGGAGGGGAAGATTATCGAAATGAGGAAGAATCTATAAGTGGGGGCACATTTTTTTGGAGGCCACAACCGCGTATATAAAACAAGGTCATGCAACGTGTAAACAACACAGTCCTTTTATAGGAGGTGAACAACGCACAATGAAGTTAATAGTAAGTGCAATTAAAACCGTGTTTGTTCTGGAAAATTTAGTGTCTTGTTTAATTCTTTGTCTATGCTTCGAATAAGATAAATAAATAATCAAAAATCTTTATTTCTAGGTTCTGTTGGTGTCTGTAATGGTGGTATATTCGATGCAAATGGATGTATCGGAGTTTGTTGACTTTAAAAACCATATTTCTAAATTTGAAAAAGTGATAGGCTTGGTGAAATCGGTGTTTTCTCAATTCAAAACCGCAATGGATGCATCAGAGAGGAAAGATTTAGAAATCCGCGATCCTTACGCTGTGATCCGAGCTATTTGGTAACATTTGACGACCCGAGGATATAAAATCGACCATGTTTGTTTTGATATATAATCGACCATGTTTGATTTGTTTTGTTACAGCAACCGGCAGGGGCTGGTTCACGTTTTGATCATTTTCCTCTTTCTTGTACTGCCGCTCATCGTGGGCATAAGCCCGGCAGGGAATTTCGCAATTCCGCATTACCAGCCGGGAATGGCGAAGTTGTAAGCTATGGAATTCCAGTTGTAATTTCAGTGTAGTCCTCTCTCTCTGTAACACAAACTTATTTTGTAGCTTTTTGACCTAGCGATGCTGAATTCGAAGGAAGACAAGTCTCTCCTGTGTGTGTTAAAATTTCTTTCACACAACAAAGAAAAAACTGATCTGATCTCATATTACTATAGTTATTTTTATACTAAAAATTAAATATAATCCATAAATATTTAAAAACAAAAAATAGGATGGATAAAATCTTAAAGATGAGGTGTAACAAAGCTCACTACCTAGGAGCATGTGTCAATGTGTCCTAAATGTTGCACTTTATTTATATGTAAAAAATTAGCAACTAAAATTAAATAGTGTGCTTTACCAAATTGAAAAGTAAAAAAATATGTTTTAGGATGATTATAAGACAAAAATTTAAAAAAACTTCATTGCAGAATATTTTTTACTCCAATTAAGGCACACTACAGAACCCATCTTAAAACAACCTCATCGTATGTCCTTCAATATTTCCTAAATTATTCACTATGTATTTATTAAAATAAAACAAAAATAAAAAATAAAAACATATCAAAATAATTAGTTTTTAAGTAATAGTTTTTAGGTTAAATAAAAACCTATGATGATGATGAAACTAGGAAGCGGGGATTGTGCTCCCCCGGCACTGCAGTCATTCTGGCTAACTAGATTATTGGCCTAATGGCTTCCTAGTTCCCTAGTAGCAATCGACTCAATCCTTCTCAAAAGTATTAGGTCATTCACTGTAGCCGCTACAATTTCATTCCTTAGGTTTTTTCTGTATGGTAGGTTACATCCCCATTGAGCCGTTTGTTTGCGTTCGAAGATGATATGGGTGGCTGTTTCTTCTTCTTCATTGCATAATCTGTAGATGGGATGTTGTGTAGATTTTTTTCTCAGATGTCAGTGACCGGTTAAAAATCCGACTGCAGCAGTGAATTTGCCAGTCATGGTGAGGTTTGTTTTAACATGTGTTTACTGTTTCTAGCGCCGGTAGAGTTTATCCACTTCTCTTTTTGTTTTATATGAATCCATTCTGCGATTGAGGATTTTGTATTTGTTTTTGTTAACCCAAGTATAGGTTCAGGGCGTATGTATGGTCTTGCAAATCCTCCTCTGGCCAGGGTGCTTTTTCGTCACTCAAAATTTCTTTGTGCCCTGGCACCCAAGATATCATCAGGTTGTTGAGTGTCCGCAGATTTTGGAGATTTTGGTTGCATCATTGACTAATTTTGATGTGATTGTTTAACATGCTAGTGCTTTGATAGTTGTTTGGCTTTCAATCTTAGGAGGATTTTTTTGCCAGTGTAAATTATTTTAAGCTCTTCTAGGGCACAAAAGTTCACGGCATGTATTTATGCTTGAAAGACCGAAGTGTACTTCCCTAATGAGTTTGATTGCTCACAACTTGGGATTGTACAAAAAACACCCGATCGTTCGTTCGTTTGTGTTGCAGCTATCTAAAATCTACAATGTACAAAACATACAACCATATCATTATACAGGGTGAATTGCTACTCGTGCTACAAACTTCTCCAGTAGATTCTTCACCCTAAAATGAACAAAAAAGTTCATATTGTCCATGGTCCGATTCNGACCATGGACAATATGAACTTTTTTGTTCATTTTAGGGTGAAGAATCTACTGGAGAAGTTTGTAGCACGAGTAGCAATTCACCCTGTATATGATGCTCTTCTGAGTTCTTCCTCTCCTTTAATATCTATGGAGATTTTATAGGATGTTGTAAACAATATTTCCGGGATCATATATATAGTCAGCCTCCCTTTCTAAGAATGGGTGTCTGATTTTATTAATTATGGTTGTGTGCCCAAATTTTTCAGTTTGTATCCAAATTGATTGTTTTTGGAGTCTACATGAGCTTTTCCTAGCCTCTCCTTGTATAAATGTTTCCAGTGGGAGTAGATTTAGCAGAGTTTCTAGTACACTTGAAGGATTTGTTCTCATTGATACATAAGTGATACATTCAGCGATACATAGGTTTGCTTTGTATGCTCAACATAATCATAAAACCTAATCATAAAATCCGAAAGACGATTTGCCATAATATTTTACAATTAATTAAGGTTTTTAGTTGAGATAAAAAAGTCAATGGCGCGAGCTGGATTTGAACCCACGATCTTCGGCTAGATACGCTGCTGCTCTACCACTTGAGCTATCGTGACCTCAATCCACTCGGACACTAAATTCCCATCTCAACCCCACCTTTTNATATATTATATTTTATGATTTATATAAGTCAAACAAATTTTATAAAATGGATCAATCAAGCCACACTACCATAACCGTTAAATGATAGAGGAATATCGTGTTCTCCACCACCCTAACTGAGTAAATGGTATGTAAATGTATGTTCAGATTTCAGCTTATATAAATCAGCAGCAAAATCGTTAAATGAAATTCATCGAAAATACTTCAACCTTACTTAATTATACATAAGTTTTTTCATTAAACAACCATAAACATAATTAATCTCTAGGCGGGCAAATTTAATTCAACGAAAAACGTTCTCCATCGCTCTTTCTTTATCAAAATTCAAAAATACCATAACGTTTATTAATCGTAAAATTACTATAAAAAACGCTCTAATTTGCTTTTCCTCAGTCTTAACGGTTAGGATCTACTTTAATTTAATACATTCTTATGACGCTTAGGTCAACGTTTTTATTGGTTGTAATTTTTTGCTTGAGACTTCACTTCAACAACGTTCGATGTTTTGTTAAAAGTACGTAATACGTTTTAATGATCACGTTAGAGCTTTGTACATTACCTACATAATATTAATATTTTTTACGAGGGTTCGCAACAGAAGAGGTCATATCAACTCTCGGGGTGCCGGTGATGTAAGCATATCGGTTTCGAATGAAGGGCCGCTGGATTCGAACCCTGGACATTTACCTTGCAGTGATGAGCGCCGTGTCAACGTGTAAACCATAGCAGCCACCGACGCCCCAATAATATTTGTTTATTTTTCCTGCAAAATTACATTTCTTACAATGTGTGTTTTTTCAACAGTACATTATTTTGATATAAAACATGAACATAATGAATTGAAATTAAAAAAACTCCTAGACACATCCTGTCTTTCATTAACAATTTTACTCAAAAAATTGATTGAAACGCAAAGGATCGAATTTGGATAGCAAAAGAGTGAATTTGGATTGTCAAAGAGTCTCGTTAGTTTGCAAAAGTGTAAATTTGGTTTGTAAAGGAATGAATATAATGTGCAAAAAGGTGAATTTGATTTGTAAGAGAGAGAATTTAATTTGCACAACAGTAAATTTCAATTGCAGCAGGGTAAATTTAACTTGCAAAGGATGAATTTCAATTGCAAAAGGGTGAATTTAATTTGCGAAAGAAAAAAATTAATTTATAAATGGGTGAATTTGATTTGTAAAAGTGTGAATTCAATTTGCAAAAGACTGAATTTAGTTTTAAAAAGCGTGAATTTAATTAAAAAATCTGCATAATGAAAGACTTAAAAATTCTACAAATTATGATAAGATAAATAAAAATGTGACCGTTATTGGTACAAGTATTTCATGGAATTGATCGTTTAGATCTAAGCGCACGGTGAAGTTTCCCTCGGCCAACTTCTTAACTTGATCTTGGTGTGAAGCCCCCCATAGAAGTTGTTAACGGAGTTTCATTTGACAATTCTCAGAATCACAGCCAAACTGTATGTAACACAATTATGGATCCACTGGCATCTTTTCAAAACTATATCTTCACTTAAATAAGGAAAGGTTGAGTTTTTTCTTTTTGGTACTTACCTGATATGCTATGCTATTTCATCGGATAATTATTGCCACTTTGGAGTGAGGATATGGAGACCCTACTAAAAAATTTTGAAGCGATGCTTTGCTTGAAGCTGCTTTAAGATTATATAGAAGAAGAAAACGCGCGATGCACGATTAGGGCTTTCGTGAGGTCTCTTCTGGTCAGCCTTTGCTGCGAGCTGGGAAAGCTGCCACCAGAGAGCAGGTAACCCTCAGTAATGAGGTCCGGTTCTTTGCCAAGAGGGGGCCATCCTTTAATGAACATGGCCATGGCTTGCCCATAGGAAGTCTCTGACCGACTCCGCACTCGGATGTGGGCCGTTCATAGTGGAGGAGTTTCCACTGCGTGGACCCTTCGCCCGCAATGCAGTGTGTACAGCGCCACGCTGTACGTGATCTGGCACGGCCATGGACTCGTGTAATCCGGGCAGAACTCATCCTACCTCGTGTGCACTGATTCCCTGATTGCGTTGAGAGACTAATTCCCATTTGATATTTTCATCGTGCTTTTTTCGAAAGATACATTAAATTGAAGCTCGTCTGAACGTTAGAGAAAGATCGTTAGTACAATAGTTGTATACCTGGACTATAACACGTCGGACTATAACTTACAGACGAGGCAGTCAAAGCCGGGATAGCTCACACTGACCTTACTATTGTGATCAATAAAGAATATAGTAAAGAAAAGTTGGCAGCGGCAGTGAACTGGCCGTTCGAGAAGCTCATACGCGCCAAGATCACGATTGGTTGATTTCTCCAGGAGATTCTAAGAAAGTATGTGTTTGGAATGAGTGAGAGTGTAAATGGGTTTGGATCTAGAGATTACAGGTTTGGGTGCTGAATTGATCTAGCTGTTGACAGCACAGCACCCATCCTCGGCGACCGCACGGATAAGGCGATGCCCGAGGCCTGCCAGTAATTTATTGTAAATTACAAAATCTGGAATTGCCGGTGAGCTGCGAGAATTGATAAGATCAATGCATGTGTACATGCAAGTACAGATTTGAGTTTATACAAATACAAATCAAATTATTAACACTGCTTGTAAACAGCATTGTATTTATGGTGCACAACTTATTATAAGGTGAATCTTTCCATCTTGGAATAAAAGGATAAACATGATTGTCGTATGCTTTTCTTCTTTATATGTTACTTCGTCTGAATTACCCATAATAAAGTGGGAAGATTATAGGCTGACAAACAGCTGAAGTCATCGCCGGCCCTCTGCGTGTTTTCACTTCTTTCGCGCATATTTTCTTTTAAATTGCAGCTATTTGGGCGTCTCGATCTGGTTACTGACTCTCTGATTTCAAATATGTAGTACGTTGATA